GCAACAATGAATGAATGGAATCCCAAAATCTCTGTAGATGTTCATTGAAATGAAAAATAAACAACCTAAATTTAAAAAAAAAATACAGTTTTTGTTGATTAACATTTGGTTTATTTTTATATGTTTTAGAGTTGTGAGTTTTTGTTAACATTTTGGTTTATTTTTATAAGTTTTATAGTTGTGAGTATAACATAAGTTTCTACTCTGATTTTATCCACTATATTTTTAATGTATTTGTATATTTTGTATATTATGTATATTTTATATTATGTATTTGTGTATCATGAATTTAAAAGTTTTTATACTGCATAATGATCCATATTTATCTCATACTTCATTTACTGGACATTTCAGTTATCTCTAAGTCATTTGTTCATAGTCAAAATAATAGTTTGATAAAACCCATTACTGTTGAGTTGAGGGAGCTCTGGTGACCTAGTGACAAGAAGTTGCGCTACGATCTCTGAAGGACAAGAAGTTGCGCCACAGTCTCTGAAGGCACGCAGTTCGAGGCCATCAGCTGCTCTGTAGCAGAAGGACAGGCAATCTCCTCTCAATGCAATTAACTGCCTCTGAACACCCACCAGAGGCTCAGCTATGGGTCTGTTCTGACTCCATATTACATAACAACCACCACAACAGCTGTTGAGTTGACTCTTAGTGACAGTGTAGGCCAGAATAGAACTGCCTTAGATTTCTTAAGCTGTAAATCTTTATGGACTCTTTATGCTACATCTGTCTCCTGCAGACTGCCTGGCAATTTCTCACTGCAGACCTTTTGGGTTGCATCTAAGAATTTTAACTCCTGTACTGCTACAACTCCTTCATGACCTGATTACCCAGTAGTCAGGAAAACATGTTACAATTACACACCCTCATTAATTATGAAGATTTTTTTTTACATTCATTAAAGGAGCCCAGATGGCACAATGGGTTAAGTGGGGGGCTTCTAACCGAGAGATCAGTGGTTTGAGTGGAGCAGGTGCCCCACACAGAAGAGATGTGGCAGTCAGCTGCCGTGAAATGCTTATCACCTGGGAAACCCTCCAGAAAAGTTCTGCTCTGTTCTGTGGGGTCACTGTAAGTTGGAACTGAGTTGTAAGTTGATCATTATGAATGTCCCACTGAGCCTTTAATTTACTGATCACGAATAAACCAAGAGGATCCATGGTAGAAGACCAGTGCAGTGGTTGTGCAATGGCGGTCTACACCCTTTCCTATCTCGTACTCTGTTGCCAGCTGGAAGTTCCAAGCAACTGAATGAACTACTCAAGACTATAGTTAGTCAAGAGGTAAGGGGAGAGGAACTCACTGCTGAGTGTCCTCTCGACCCGTAGTTCTCATCGCTTTTATGTTAAGAAGCTTTGCAAGTGGGAAAGTATGTTGAGTAGAGTTACAAGATAAAATGTTGCTTCCTGTTGCTCACCCATCCTGTCTACCAGACCTCATCCACATCAGCATTTTGAGATAGCAAGAGAATGTTTCTCTGCCAGACGCACACGCTAAGTCAGAATATTGCCCTTTACCCATCTTTGTTCTGTTGAACAATTAACTCCACATTTACGTAGGAATGTTTTCCTAGTTTTTTATAGTGTGCACTTAGAGTTTTTCTCTTTCAGAGAGTTTTCTGTGATTGCATTAATCCGAGCAACCCTAGATCTAGTCATCTCAACCCCTACAGTGTTCAGTAGGGACAACAGCCTTTCTGATGAAAGGGTAGAGACAGACATTGATGACCTAACAACTAGAATCTGTTAAAACTGAGCATTCTCTTGGTCCTTTGCTAATTGTTTCTTCTGGTTAAAATCTTTGCAAGTAGAAAAATATCTTTTAAAGAAAATGTTTTCAGCCTACTGTTTCCTCCTGGCCTTTTTCATTGTGGAGAATTTAGTTTGTTGGAAACCATAAGGCTGCTGACTAAGATTTCCTCCGAGGGAAATGTGTGTTTATTTGATCTAGAGAGATGTCAGAAAGATTTGGTTACCTCCGTGGACAGCTTGTCCTGATTCAGCTTTCAACCACATGTGCCAAACTGCCTACAGTAAATCCTGTGACAGAAACACTTGAACTTTGCTTAATACTCAGAAATTCTTGCCACCAGAAAAGTTTTTGATCTGGTATTTTCATGTCTCTTTAACTGCTGCAACAAATTACCATAGACTTTCTGGCCTAAAACATAAATTTGTCAGTTTACAATTTTTCTGGTCAAAAAATTTTCGGCCCAAGTTGTTTTGAACTCAGTAAACGAAGACCAAGGTGCCAGCAGGATTGCATCCCTTCTTGCTGCCTCTGGGGAAGAATCCATTGCCTTGGCTTCTGTAGCTTCCCACGGCTGCCTGCTTTCCTTGGCTCTTGTCCTCACAGCTTCAAAGCTAGAAGTGTATGCTTGCATCCTCACTTTGTATCATTCTTCCTCCCTCTTCTGCCACCATCAGCCGTGCATAAGGACCCTTTGTGATTCTAGTAGGCTCACCTGTGCAAACCAGGATATTTTCTCTGTTGCTCAGGCAGCTGACTGCAACCTTCGTTCTGCTTGCAAACTTAATTCCTCTTTGCCATTCACTAGTTGCAGTGATTAGATGTGGAAGTCTCCAGAGCTTCATCTGTAGGAATCAATATCAACTGTGAAAACCAGGCCAGGTGCTGATTGTGGAACAGACCACCAACTACTCATATGCAAGTTCAAGCTGAAGTTGAAGAAAATGAAATCAAATCCATAGGAACCAAAATTTGACCTTAAGTCTATCCTACTCGAATTTCAAAACCATCTCAGGAACAGGTTTAAGGCCTTGAGCACTAATGAGTAGAGACCAAATGAGCTGTGGGAGGATATAAAGAATAATATCCATGGAGATTGCAAAAAAGTCATTAAAAGGGAAGAGGAGGAAGAAAAGATGAAGATGGATGTCAGATGAGCCTCTGAATATTGCACTAGAGCCCTGATAAGCCAAAGCAAAGGGAAGAAATAAAGAAATTAAAGAGCTGAACAGAAGATTTCAAAGGGCAGCTTTGTCTTCAAAAGACAAAGCAAAGTATTATAATGAAATGTGCAAAGACCTGGAGTCAGAAAATCAAAAGGGCCAAACTCACTCATCATTTTTTAAGCTGAAGGAATTGTAAAACAAACTTGAGCCATGAGTTGCAATACTTAAGGATGCTTTAGACACAATATTAAATGATCCAAGAAGCTTTAAAAGAAGATGGAAGTAGTATACAGAGTCACTGTACCAAAAGGAATTGGCTGACACAGAAAAATTTCATGAAACAATGTATGAGCAAGAAGTCTTTGGTGATGAAGAAGTTCAAGCTGCTCTGAAAGAAATGGGGGAAAAAACAAGGCTCCAAGAATTGATGGCTTATCGATTGACATATATCAACAAACCGATGCTGCCCTGGATGTGCTAAGTTGTGCCAAGAAATCTAGAGGACAACTCTGTGGCCAACTGACTGGAAAAGATCTATATTTGTTACTATTCCACAGAAAGGTGACCTGACAGACTGTGGAAATTATTGAACAATATTATTAATAACACATGCAAGCAAGATTCTGCTGAAAATTATTAGAAAAAAACAACTGGAGGAGTACATCAACAGAAAACTGTCAGATGTGCAGGCTTGGTTTAGAAGAGGCTGTGGTACTAGGGATATTATAGCTAATATTAGATGGATCTTGGCTGAAAGCAGAGAGTACCAGAGGAATGTCTATCTGTGCTTCAAGGACTATGCAAAGGTGTTTGACTGTGTAGACCACAACAAACTGTGGCTGACTCTGAGAAGAATGGGAATACCAGAACATTTGTTTGTGCTTATGCAAAACCTATACTTGGACCAGTAGGAGGGGGTCAGAACAGAGCAGGGAGACACTGTATGGTTTAAAGTAGGGAAAGTTGTATGTCCAATATGTATCCTGTCTCCATACCATTTAAATCTATATGCAGAACAGATCACCATGAGTCTGGGCTCTATGAGGAGGAATGTGGCATCAGGATTGGAGGAAGACTCATCAACAATCTGCATTATCTCACAATCTCACACAACTCTGTTTGCTGGAACTGAGGAGGACCTGTTGCAGAAGGTCAAGGACTGCAGCCTTCAATATGGATTGAAGCTCAACATCAAGAATACAAAGATTCTCACAACTTGGCCTATTGACAGTATTATGATAGATGATAAAGAGATTGAGATTGTTAACAGTTTTAGTTTGCTTGGCTCTTGGTAACAGCAGTCAGAAAATCAGGAGACAAATTGCATTGGGGAAAATCAGCTGTCAGGGACCTCTCCAGAGTACCAAAGAGCAACAATAGTACATCAACAGGAAATTGCCAGAAATTAAAGCTGACTTCTTAAGAGGCCAAGGAACGAGGGATATCATTGCTGATATCAGATGGATCTTGACTGAAAGCACAGAATACCAGAAAGATGTTTATTTGTGTCTTACTAACTGTGCAAAGGCATTTGACTGTGTGGATCATAGCAAATTATGGATACAATTGAGAAAAATGAGAAGCCCAGAACACTTCATTGTGCTCGTACAAACCCAATACGTAGACTAAGAAGCAGTTGCCGTAATAGAACAAGGGAAACTGCATGATATAAAGTCTGGAAAGGTGTGCATCGGGATTGTATCCTTTCTCCATGCATACATGCATATCTGACCTGCAAACTGAGCAAATAATGTGACAAGCTGAACTGTGTGAAGAAGAATGTGGCATCAGAATCGCAGGAAGACTGCATTACACAGATGATAAAACCTTACTTGCAAAAAGTGAAGATGCCTGGTAATACTTACTGAAGATCAGAGATTACAGCCTTCCATGTGTATTACATCTCAATATTAGAAAAATCTTTGCCAGTAGGGAGCATCATGCTAGATGGAGAAAAGATTGAGGTTGCCAGTGACTTAATTTTGCTTGGATCCATAGCCAACCTCCATAGCAGCACCTGTCAAGCAGTCAAAATTCATAGGGTCATTCTGCTTTGTCATCCTCCTGTGGGCACCTTAACAGCCCTTTACCAGCCGTGGACAAGCAATGTAGAATGGAATCAGTCTTAAATGATCAGTCTTCTTAGTTGATGTCAAGTGTCTTGGGAACTCTGGTGACCTAGTAGATGTGGGGTTGTGTTGCGAACCCAGAGAAAGGGGGTTTAAACCCACAGGCTGCTTTGTGGGAGAAATATGATGGGTGATTTTGCTCTTGCAGTTTTCAGCCTCAGAAAGCCTGCTAGAAGATCAGCTATGTGTCGTTTCTGACTTGATGGTAGTGAAATGAATTTTGAATTTAATCGGTGCATTATGATAAATAAGATAAGCAGTGAAACAGCTAAAACACAGACAGACCTTGACGTAGTGCAGGTTGGTTTGTATACCCTACTATAGAGAAGATATTACAATAAAGCAAGTTGCATGTTGTTGGGGGTTTTTTCCATTTCTAGTGCATATAAAAGTTACAGTTATACTCCATTATTATATACTGCATTATGGTCTATTAACTGTGCAAGAGCATTGTGAAAACACTTCAAAATATCGTCAGAATTACCAAAATGTGGCAGAGAGACACAAAATGAACACATGTGGGTGGGAAAAATGGTGCTGATAGCCATGCTTAACACAGGGTTGCCAGGAAGCTTCAGTTTTAAAACATAAGCCTCTGTGTAGCACAATAAAGTGAAAATAAGTAAATCATGAAATTTGGGGTTTTTTGGTTTTGTTTTTAAAATTTGGTTTTTTTGGTTTTGTTTTTAAAATTTTTTTTTTCGATAATTATATTTTATTAATTTTCATAAACATTTACAGAGATTTTGGGCTTCCACTCATTCATTGTTGCACTAAAATTTTTTTTTTAAATTTTATTTTATAATTGGTTTTTTAGGATCTGACTGGTACAAGAAGAGATTGCCCCTCCTTCTCCAGCAGAGCATCTGGTGGATTCGAACTGCATACCTCTGGGATTATAGTGCAGCTTCTTGCCACTAGGCCACCAGAGCTCCCTGAAATATATTTGGGGTTTTATGAACTAAAACTCAAGTTTATACAATGGTAAAAATTGAAAGGAAATTATTTCAGAAATAGGAAGGATGGTCAAATGTCTGATACATACATAAAGCAAAATATTAAACAGTCATTACAAATTGTATTTTTTAAAAAATATGTACCTAGGAAATCATAATACTATATATTTTTAAAGGATCTCTCCGTTATCATCAACACCTAATTGAAATAGGACACAGAATTACCCATTTTGACTAAGTTAAAAATAGATTATAAAATAATAAAATAAAATAAAAAAATATTAAAAAAATAGATTATAAAGCTTTAAAGGAAATTCATTATAACATTTATGAGGAGAATTTCTGGGTAATGATGGGATTTTTTCCCCCTTAAATATTTTTTAATTTTCTTAGTGTTTTCTCTATGGGTATAATTACCACTCGACAGTGGAAGCAAGTTATTAAACATCTTTTATTAGAACTTGTGCAGGAGTGAGACATCATTGTCTTTGTTTCACAGTACTTGTTCATTAATAGTAATTTGTTAAGTATTATTGTGTTTTTTTTTCCCTAATCACTTGCACTTTGATCTTTCAAACAGGTTTACTCGAAACCAACAAAGGCTTTTGGAGCAAAATAAAAATCAGGAGGAAGCAACCAATGTAAGTGAATAGAAATGCTATAAAATGAAAATTTGAGCCATTATACCAATTGTATAATAAGGAATAAGACTTATCTAAAACAGGTCAAATTTGAAGTGGCTTGCACCATGCAGAATACTTAATAGTCATTAAGTTCTTAGTAAAAGATCATAAGAAGAGTCCTTAATTAAACAGAAACTCATGTGGGTGGTGAGATGTACTTAGGAAGAGTGTTGTCTGTTGTAGAGCTAATTCTTCCTCATATTACACCCTAACCAGTCTTTCTCCCTTCCAAAGGAATATCACAGGGGCAAAGTCAGGGTAAACTACAAGGCACATTTCTTTCTAAGTTGTGTTTCTGGTTGCTTGCTTTTCAGACTAGCAGCGAACCTTCTGCACCGTCCTCTGATCTCCTGGACCTAAGCCCCAGCCCTCCGACTCCTAGAGCCACTCTGGGAGAACTCAACACCATGAATGCTCGGCTTTCAGACTTAAGTAAATAAGCACTCGGGCCTTTTGAGACCCACAGAAGAGGCTGATGCGAAACAGTTCTTCTTGATTTCCTAATTAAATGCCACCTCTGGAGTATTGAAGTCAGTTTTAATATTAGAGAACTCTATCTGGAGATGTAGATTCAGTCCCAGCTGATGATTGAGTCAAGCCCCAATGAACGGGTTGTGTCTGGGGAAGCAGGTCTTTGAAACAACTGCTGGCTTAGAATTTCAGTTTACTTGATTTGTTTGGAGCCTGTGTAACTTCATGGCCTTTGCTTAAAGCTGCTCTGAAGATATGCACTGCTTTCTTTGAGTTTCTGTACAATACCACAGGTTCAGATAAAGGAATATATGATGAAATCAGATGATGGGAGAAATTCAGGAATTACGCAGCCCGATATATGTGATGAAGTTTAGGATCAACAACAAAGATTTTAAGAGAAGTCTAATTTGAAATCCCAATCCTGCCACCTCCTAACCATCCTCTCTTTTATAAATGGACTTCTCTCCTTTATAAAATATGGACAACGGTTGCTTCATGAAATTGCTAGGAAGTAGAAAAAGTAATGTTTACAAATTGCATTGTAAGTTTAAGATACCTATTTGACCACTCTCCTTTGTTATCTTCTGTCCTCATTCCCAAAAAGTTTTGGTAAATAAGGATGATGAAAAATGCTGAATTTTAGAACTCTTTTCAAACTGAAGTTTGAGGATTTTTTCTCAAGGATTTTTTTTCCCAGAATCAAAATATTCAGAATCACTGAATTTGGGGTGGGTTTTTTTTTAAATAACTCCCCCAGTCTAAAATAATGACTACTTGTGTGTGCCAGTGGAAAGTGTGGGATCCTGCTGCATTGAAGAGTTTTCTTGGGTTCTTAATAGGAATTTTCAGAAGGAGAAAATAATTATCCCTTTGGAGTGACTCACTTAAAATTACAGAAAATTAGGAGTTGGAGGTCATTGTAGAGTTCTGAATACCAGTTAGTGTCTTACTTTTGTGCTTTACCGAACAAGATGTATAATCCAGTCTGGATTAGTTTGGGGACTTAACCGAAACAACGCTACTTTTATAACAGGCTTTTTTTCTTTTCAGCATGAAATTTCTCTTTCAAACTGTCATGAGTGATGATTTTAAGAAGTTCTATGATTTCATGGTGACAGAAAGTTTGAAATTAATCGCTTTAATTTGGCTATTTTTTTATGATACTTATCTTTAAAGAAATTAATGACAAAAGTAATGCAAAACCAAATGTATTTAAAAAACTAAACAGAATCGTCTTCAAGTATAATGATTAACCTTATTTTCTAAAAGATCTTGGGTAATACACATGAAAATCTTGAGTCCATAATATCATATATTCACCATATAAAGAAATAAACGACTTTTATTAAGTCTCTAAACATTTGAATCAAGCTCTATTGGGTGAGTAACTCTCCCAATTAAACCCATGGGCTTTAACCTAAAGCTAGATTCAAAGAAAACAAAGTCATGACCAATTTAACAATTCAAATAATTAAAATTATAGTATAATTTCACATTTGTTGCCTAATATTAGGTAGAAACTTAAGAAGCAATATTAACATATATTTAACTGAAAGAAAATGAACCATTCTTTTTCATAACCCCTTAAATATAGTCTTTCAGTAATTTTCCTTTATAAAGTAGGACAAATACCTTTCCACTAAGGCTGACATTGCCATAAGTCACCGAGAAATAGACATTATTTTTAATTGCTTATTTATATTATTTAAACTATATAACTAAAAAAATTTTTTTTTAATACAAAATTTTCATATACATTGTTTTTCACACCAGTAATTTGGTTATTTTTAACTTTTTTTTTTAACTGTAGAAAATCCAGTAGAATAACTGATTGACAAAATGTTTCAAACTTAGCAATGGATCTGTTTTGTGTTACAGATTTTAGATCTCCAGTTCCTGCTGTGAACAATTCTGTGAGGCCCAGCCATTATCCACAAATGGACTTATTAGCCTCAGAAAACACAGAAACACTCCTGTAAGTATATCAGCGACACTGCAGAACGAATGCCGTATCATTTCTTATGTTTAAAAGAGCAAGGCATAATAAGAAATATACAGACTTAAAAACTAGACAGACTTGAGTTAAAAATCTCAGCACTACATCTTGCTAGCCGGAGGGCCTTCCTTAGTATAGTTACCTACTGTGAACCTCTTCTAAGAACATCCTAGATCTTATAAATATTCAAGAATACTCTATATATAAGGGAGCTCTGGTGGCCTAGTGTCAAGAAGCCACTCTACAGTCCTGAAGGCACACGGTTCAAGGCCACCAACAGCTCCACGGGAGAAGGATGGGCAGTCTCCTCCTGTGTGATTAACTGCCTCTGAAAACCTGCCAGAAGGTCAGCTATGGGTAAGTTCTCACTCAGTGGTACACAACAACAACATGCTATGTTAAGACTTCTAGTATAGCATTTAGTGTATAACAAGCCTTCAATTAATTGTGTCTATGTTTTATTTTTTTAGTGATGACAGGAAGTAAGGGGAAATGGGAATACAGTGACAGAGGGAAGATAAGTGAGGTACAAAATTATAACACTAACAGCTACACCAGTTACAGGTTGCTTGCCATGGGCCAAGCACTTTGATAAGCTCTTTTTCTTTATTTCTTTTCTTTAAGCTTTATAAAGTTCCTTCTTGTTGTTTTGTGCCATTGAGTTGAAACTGACCTGTAGCTGACCCATCAGTGGGTTTTCAGAGGCTGTAAATGCACAGGAGGAGATTACTTGTCTTTTCCCCACAGAGCAGCTAGTAGATTTGAGCCACCTGCCTTTGAGTTGTTAGTGCAAACACTAGGCCACCAGTGAATCTCCTACCTTACCTGAAAATCATTGCAACAATTCAGCTCGAGGCCGTCAAGTCAGAACTGACTTCTAGTGGACCCCTAGCCTCCAGTGCGTTTCCAGCGGCAGTAAATCAGACTTGAGGAAATTGTGCATTTCACTCAGACTGCTCCCTTTTAAGCTGACAGTGCAATTCCTTACCTACAAAGACAACAAAATAATAATAATAATAATAATAATTTAGATGCTTGTTAATAAGTCAAACTGCTGGCCCCCAGAAATTTTGATTCAATAAATTAGGATGACTGTGAAAGAAATGTTTTTATTTGATGCGATAGTAAATTTTGACTTTCAGTGATCTTGATACAGAGGTATACTTTCCCATAAGGTTTTCTTTTTCTTTTCAGCTTACCAGTGCGGAATATCCTTATTTTTTATAATTTTTAATTTATGCATTAATGAAAGTTTTCAAAAAACTTGGATTTCCATCCATTCATTTTTGTACATTTTTCTCCCCACCCTTGCCCCAGTTAGCTTTTCTTTTTAAAAAGATCCTCTCATTGTTGTACAGCTTTCTCCCTTCCCCCGCCCTGCAGTCTAATCTGATATGCACTTCTAGGTAGTATGTAAAGGAAGAAGCTGTGGTGGTGTCTGGGTTACATTATGGGGTGATAATCTAAAGGTCAGCAGTTTGAATTCAGCAGCAGCTCTCAGGGAGGGAGGTGGACACTCACCTCCTAGAAGGATTTACAGCTTCAGAAATCAGATGGAAATTGTGGAGTGGAGCCAACTCGATAGCAGTGAGTTTTCGGTAACCTTTGCAAGAATAGATTTGCCGTCTTTCTCATGCAGTAGCTTGGTGGATTTTCACATCACTGGCCTTTTGATTAGCAGCCAAGTCCATAATCATTATGCCACCAGGGCTTCTTAGATTGGGGATAAGAGTTCAAGAATTTTAAATTTTAACAAGCTTTCCTAAGCTTCAAAAAAGCGGTTCTTTGATCATACATTGAGAAGAATTTTAATGCGCATCTGCCCAAAATCCAGTCAATAGTTTTGCAAGTACTTGGAATTCATTGGCATGAAAGTTTTCAAAATTTCCATACAGTAATATTGACTGTGTGTTTGTGCATGTGTGTTGTGTATAAAAGTCTGAATTTTAACATAGTATTTATTTGTGTATTTTGAATCCTTGGTGTTCCCATTTTATGCATCTTAGGAATGTTAGGTTTCCTTGATGAATTTCTCCTTTTGTCATTAGATAATAGCTTTCCTCGTTCCTTTAGTTCTTTTTCCCTGATGTCTACTTGAATACTAATATAACTACTCTTCTTTTGGTTAACGTTTGCGTGATACATCTTCTTCTGCCCTTTTCTTTTAACTTTTCTGTATCAGAATATGTGAAGTGAGTTTCTTGTGGACAGCAAAAGTTGGATCACTCTTTCTCCCCCTTTACATTTCTCTTTTAATTGGTATATTGAAACCATTTTCATTGAGCATAATAATTGATAGGCTTGGACTTAGGGTCTCTTATAATTTTCTCTATTTGTCTTGAGCTCTCTTTTTTTGTTCTCTAATTTAGTATTCCATTTTAGTTTACCAATTATGATTTTCATTTTTATCTTTATATAGTGTTTATACCTATACATGTGTATATAAGTGTTCATATATATTTATATAGAATATAGAATAGTTCTGGGGTTGGCAATATTTTCACTTAATTTTTCTGTCCACATAGAATCAGTACTTTACCCCGTAAAGGGAATTATAGCAATCTTACCACCTTATATGTCTCTTTAACATTTCTCTTTTATATTATAATTACTTTACGTATTTTACATACATTGATAAAACACATTAGGGTTCAGGGGAGACTGAGGAAGATGACATAAATGATGTATACTGTATTGAAACAAATGAGGGAGAAAAATGTTTAAAAGTGATATGTGATTAGGTATTATTGTCATTACAGGAGTCCAGAGTGAAGGTTGCACAGTGGAGTGGACTTGGGGGAAGGGAATAAAAGAATTTTTTCTTTTATTTTTCAAAGAGATGAGTGAACTGGGGCGGGGCAGGGGTGGGCAGGGAGAAAAGTGCAACAATGAATGAATGGAAATCCAAAGTCTGTAAATTTTCATTAAAATTAATAATAAAAAAATTGAGAGAAAAAGAAAAACACATCAGTGTAATAACTTGTGCTTTCAGCTCTCAAATATATTTTAAAGAGCTGATGAAGAGAATAGTCTTCTTGTATTTGTCCAAATATTTACCATTTCTATTGCTTCTTTTTTCTTATAGTTCTGTTGAATGACTTACTCTTTCACAGTAGGCCTTTAGGCAGGAAATCTCCTCATTCCATTTCATCTGAGAGTGTCGATATTCCTTCTTCATTCTTCAAGGATATTTTCACTTGATAGAGAATTCTGCAGTGACAGTTCTTATCTTTCAGCATTTTAAAATGCTGTTCCAATCTGTTCTCACCTGTTCTGATAAGAAATCTTTGAATTGTTGCTCTTCTATTGGTAATAAATGTTGTTTTCTCCAGCCACTTTGAATAATTTTTTTCCCTCTTAATTTTGAGCAATGTGGTTATGATGTGTCTGGGCTTTGAATTCTTTCAGTTTATCTGTTTGGCTTTGCTGAGAGTATTAGATTTTTGTGGTTGCCATAACAAATCACCACAAACTGGGTAGGTTAAGACAACGCCAATTCAATATTTCACAATTTTGAAAGCTAGCAGTCGAAGATTCCATAGGGCCGTCTCCCTCTGGAGCGTCTACAAGGAGAGCTGACCTTTGCCACCTCTACTTTCTGATGACTGGACAGCATTCCTGGACTTCGTTGGCTTGTGGTCTTATTACTCTTAAGTCTTACTTTCGTCTTCCCATCACATTTGCTCCCCATGCCTTTCTCTCTGAGGTATTTGTTAGCGGATTTGTTGTTGTCTGGGACTGAGTACATCTCATAGTGACAGCTCTGAGCCCTGTCCTATCCTGTGCCATCCTCTTCTTCACCCCTGACACACTTGAGTCCATTGTTGCCATCACTGTGTTAATCCCTTTGGTTGAGGGTCACCTTCTCTTTTGCTAATCCTCCACCTTTAAAAGAATTATGTCCCTCTCCAAGGATGACTGGAAAAGAATTGATGCGTTTGAGCTATGCTGTTGGAGAAGAGCACTGAACATCCATGGACGGTCAAGAGAACGAACAGCTATGTCTTGGAAAGAGTGCAGCCAGAGTGCTCTTTGGAGGCAAGAATGAATGATGGGGCTTCGCCTCACATACTTTAGACATATTACTAGGAGACATATTCCTTAGAGAAGGACATGATGCTAGGATGCTAAGAAGGGTGGAGGGTTCGCAAAGGAGAGGAAGACCCTCAACCAGGTATATTGACAAGGTAATTGCTGCAATGGGCTCCTGTGTGTTGGGAAGTGTGAGGATGGCACAGAATAGGACAGTGTTCATTTGTTCATAGGGTAGCTATGAGTCATCCCAACAGCACCTAACAGCAACAACCACAGCAACATGCCTGAAGTATAGGGAACAAAGATTTGTCATCTTGGCCTCCAAGCAGCACTCTGGCTCCCCCTTCTCCAAGACATCTCTTTGCACATTTGGCATTCCACGTGATTCTCAGTAGTCTCCTCCAACACCACAGCTCAAAGATATCAAATCTTCTGTCATCCTTATTTGTTGTCCAGCTCTCAGATGCCCAGCAAGTGATTGAAAAGACCATAGCCTGATTCAGGCACACCTTAGTCTTCAAATGGATATCATTGCTTCTCAGTAATTTGGAGAGGTCTCTAATTGCAGACTTTGCCAGTGCAATATGACTCCTGATCTCCTAATTGTTGATAGCAAGAGTATATATAGATTGTTGGTCCACATAAGATGAGGTAGTTGACAGATGCAATCTTTTCTCCATCTATTATGATGTTGGCTATTGGTTCATTGGTGAGAATTTTTATTTTCTTGATGTTGAGATGTAATCCATACCAAAGGATTGATCTCCCGCAGGAAATGCTTCTAGTCTAGTGTGTCTAATGCCAGAAGGGTCTCCCACGGTGGTCAGATTTTAGCAGAGCCCTTAGATTAAGAACAGACTAGGAAGCAGAATTGGTCATCCACTTCTTTTTTAGAAGGCGTCTGGGAACCAACCCTATGAACAGTAGAGGAACACGGATAGTTAACAGTAATTAGAGGTAGAACGTAGATTGGATGTCAGTCAAAATGGGGAGAAACAGACATCCGTTAATAGTTGGAACATAAAATGTACAAAATAATGAACGTTGGAAAACTAGATATTGTGAAAAATGAAATGGAACACATGAACATCAACATTGTAAGCATTGATGAAATGAGATGTACTGGCATTGGCCACTTTGAATCAGACAATCACATGGTATACTTGGCTGGGAATGAAAAACAGAAGAATAATGGTATTGTCATTGGATTTAGAGCCCAGCTAGTTAATACAGGATTATCTCCTCATCTCACGTCCTAATTTTAGTTAAAACTGTGGAGATCCTTTTTCCAAATGAGGTCATATTCTCAGAGTTACCAAATCATGTTGTGAACGTATCTTTTTAGAGGCCACCATCTAATCCACCCATTAAAGAGCTCTGCTGGCATAATGCATAACATATTGGACTGCAAACCACAAGGTCGGCAGTTTGAACCTACTAGCTGCTTTGTGAGAGAGATAGAGGTGGCCTTCTCCTGTATTACAGCCTTGAAAACCCAGGGGACGGTGGCAGTGAATCGGAACCCAGTCAGCCTCTCGCTCGGTACTTTTTGAATCTTTGAGTATGTCTCATCAGGCTAGGAAAGTTTCCAGCCTTCATGTTTTTAAACTATCTTGTCAGAACTGCATCATATCCTTTGTCCTCCTGGAACTCTGATGATTCAGATGTTAGTCCTGCTGGCATCTCCTCAAGTCCTTAGGATCTTGTTCACATTATCATTTCACTCTTGTTTTCTACCTTGTTTTCAGTTTGGCTAATATATATATTGACCTTTGTTCAGATTCTCTGACTGACTTCTGCTGCCATCTCCATTTTGCTGCTGAGCTGGTTGTATTTTATTTCTGTTATTAGGATTTTTTTTTTAAATCTCATTTGTTCTTTTATATTGAGATCTTCTTTTGCTTAGCTACTGGGGCTTTTTTGGTTCTAGTTTTTCACCATAATTGTTTGAGATTGTTTGGTGGAACATTTGAATAATAACATAGTTTTACACAAGTAACACACGCACTTCTACATTTGTTTGCCAATTGCTCCTTCCCCGGAGAGGTATTTTTGTAAACATGCCATGCATTTTTATTTTACAACAGCGTATGGAAAAATTGGCAAAATGGAACTTATGAAGATATCTCCTTCGGGGAGGGAGAGGTTGGCAAACAAACATAGAAAGTGTGTGTTATTTGCATAAAAATACAGTAACTACTTTGCAATCTTTGGCGGATAATTCCAGCTTCTGTGTTCCTGCCATTGGTGTCTGTTTTTTCCCCATGGAGGTTGACATTTTCCTGGTTCTTCGTGTGTCTTGTAATTTTGGATTGTATCATGGATATTTTGAATACAGGTATGCATCATTTAACATTCACAGTACATTCTGTGAAAAAGGACAGTGTGTGATTTGGATGTTGTATGAACACAGTAAAGCCTTGTGGGAACCTGCTTCCACTCTCGTGTTGTTACTGCTGCTGCCAGAAACCAGAGGACAAAGGAATGGGAACAGCAACAGCATGAAGAGCAGCAGTGGGCACAGTGGCAGTAGGCACAGTAGCAGAGGACACAGCAATGGTGGATGGCAGTGGACCAGCAAGAATGCTAACAGAGGCAGTGGGGACATCAGTAGTGCGGCAGTGGGAACAGTGGCAGTGGGGACGCCAGCAGAGGTGGCAGGGTGGGGCAGCTACAGGAAGAGCAGACTATGAGGAAGTGATTGAGTAGATAGCAGAGTGTGTCCACTCCCACCTGCTATTTACCTGCCTGCTGGGCAAAGCCCAGCAACCTACACCTGGAGATTTGTCCCCTGAGATAAGAATTAGTCTTCAGTGTCTGCTGTCTTGACTGGGACCAGGTCTTAGCATATGTAGGGCAAGGGTGAGCGCAGTCCTAGACCATTTTCTGAAGCTGTTTTCTGGAATTGTTCCTCCTTTGTGCCTTCTGTTGCTCTGTGCTTTCCTGAACCTCCCCTTTTAGGTTCTGCAGTCAGGAAGGTGGGCTTTTGGTTGTCCACTCTGCTGCTTCCAGAACCCCTCAAGTATGCCTGTGACAGGACCAAGTGGCAGGACAGGAAAAAACCCAAAGAAACAGTGGGTTTGTTCCATATTCTTGCAATCACAGTTCTACTTTGTGGAAAGATTCGCCTCCCCTCGCAGTTTTAGACTCTGACAAATCCTGTTGCCTTTGCTGTCACCGCTTGTATGGTAGAACTGCCTGGGAGTTGGACTGTGAAAGAACCAAGAGAAGAAAAGAAGCAGAGCAGAGATATCTGTGCTTTCTCTAAGCACTTGGAATTTTCTTTGCTATTCATTAAGTAAAAGCTAGATGGTTGTTTCTGGTGTACGGTCCTCACAGAGGCCAACTTTCGAATTTGGGCTGCATTACATTTAAGCTAGAGAATGTCAGAAGGGGAAAGAATGACAAATACACCAACAGTTCTGTGGTACTTTAAACAGTTCTGTGGTCTTTCCAAGTCTAGGCTGATACTGTTAACATTTATTATCCTCCAGTAGTTGCTCTGTGAATTCTTTCCAGGTTTTTTTGTTTGTCTGTTTTTTTTGTTTGTTTTTTTAATTGAGATTTTAATGAAAGTTTATATAGAACTTGGATTTCCATTCATTCATTGTTGCACATTTTCCTCCCTGCCCCCTCTCCTCCTAGTTCACTTTTCTCTTTGGGAAAAAGAAAGTTCTTTCATTGTTCTACAGTCCCTCCCACCCCAGTCCACTTCACTATGCAGCTCTTTTATCTGGGCTCATGCCATGCTAATAATACCTAATCATATATTCCTTTTAGATAGAACGGCATTTAGAGCTCTTGTCCATAGGGTCGCTATGAGTCACAAGTGACTTGATGGCACATAACAACAACATATTCATTTTATACGGTTTTCTCCCTTGTCTGTTTCAATGCCGCGTACATTATTTATCCCCTCTTTTTTATTTTAATCCCAACCCCCATGTTAGTCCCGTTTTATAGCAGTACAGGGTTTTTTCTTTGTTTTTTGTTGTTGTTGTTTTCTTGTTGTGCACTGTTGAATTGGATCCGACTGGCACTGGAGGAGATTGCCCCTCCTTCTTCAGCAGAACATCTGGTGGATTCGAACTATGTGCCTTTGGGATTGCAGGACAGCTTCTTGCCACTAGACCACCAGAGCTCCCCTCTGTCCAGGTTTTATAGTTGCATCAGTTAGGGAAGCAAAGTGGCATGCATTTCCTCCATCTTCCACATAACCAGAATCCTTTCTCTCCCTCCGTAAGCTTTGCATTGCACTGCTTCCTATCCCTCTGGAAATGATGGGGAGGTAACTGTCTGACAGGAAAAGGGAGAGTTCTGTTCTTGCCTGGGGTTTGAGCCCACTCAGGGGCTCACGCCTACCCTGGCCGCAGCACAGTGCTTTGTGGCTTTGCTCTCTTTCTTGTTGAACACCTGGCACTGTAGACACTAGAGTGTCACCTGTTATGCAGAAGTACCATTTTTGTACAGTCTGATGTACATTTTAGATACCATCGTTAGGTAAAGAAAATCCTCTTACTTTCTGCATTTGTGTTCTCACTGTAGGGTAACCATGCTGTGTTATCACACTATCCTAGGTCTCCCCCGAGGACCAGCCAAAACCACCTCTCCAGCCCCACATACGACAACGTAAGTAATGAAACGCTTCTCTGCTGATGACCCCCGGCCACAGCCGAAGCATCTCTACTTGTTACGTCTCATGTTCTGCTCAGTGTTTCTTTATATGAACTATTAGTTGGTCCAGCTCTTGATAGGACCTTTTCTTGATTATATTTTTATCTAAGATAAGCCAGGTCTCAGCACTTCAGTCAGGAAGATGGTTAAGGATCAAAATTTCTTAACAGTTATTTGCAGTTCTCTTTGGCAGATTTCCAGCAGGCTTTTATCCCCACTACTCGACTGGCACTAGGCATTGGTGACATCATGCTTGGGAGGGTGGAGGGACAGTGCAGGAGAGGAAGGCCCTCTATGAGGTGGATTGATTCAGTGACTGGGATAATTGGGATGGGAGTGTCAGAGACAGTGTGATTGGCACAGGACAGAGCAGAGTTTAGGGCTGTTGTACATAGGGTCGCTATGAGTCGCAAACGACACGACGGCACATAACAACAACAACAAACTCGACTGGCTAGATTCTTGCCATCATCACTAGTGACCTCTGTAGCACTAAACGGTTACTTCAATTCTGCCTTCATCTTACTGGATATCCTGTAGCGTGTGGCCAAGTTCATCACTGCCTCTTCTCTGTGCATGTACCTCCCAGCATGCTGCTTTCTCACCTCACTTCCATTCCATCCCATCGCCAATGCCTTTGCTGGCGTTGCCTCCTCTGTGATCTTTGAACATTAGAGACCTCCAGTCATTCCTCTACAGTCATTCCTCAGTGGTCTTTCAGTCCTATATCTTAAAAGAAAAAAAAAATTCACATTCTGATAACATAAAAATGAAAATCTCCAGTGCAAACCCTGCCCCTAAACTCTGACCTCATGTATTCACATCCTCTTACCATGGCCCCTGGATGCCATCCCAGTCCTCCTCCAAGCCTGCAGTCCTGCTTGATAAGAAGGTCTCTCTACTTTTTCAGACTCGAGCCAGACTCCTTGGGGAACTAGTGCTTGACTTTCTCTTTTCCCTGCAGGATACACCTCCTCACCCAGACTGCTGTCCGTGAGCACAGTGGTGGTTTACTGAGGGCCGTCCTGCTTCTGCCTTTGGCCTTTCCCACCCTCCTCCTTCCTCACTACTGCCTGCCTGTGCATTCTGTTCTCAAAGCAGGAACCAGAGCAATCTTTTTTACAAACTAAAGTGCTGTTATGTCATTCACCTTTTTCCAATCCCCCCTGCGGCCTCCTCCTATTTTTACTCAGTAAAAGTCTACGATGCTGATCTGATTCCCTGTTTCTGTCCATCACCTCTCATTCCCTCCGTGTGCTCACTCTGCTCTAACCACATTGCCTTCGGCCCATGGAAATCTTTATTAAAAGACAGAGAGATGAGAGATAACTAAAACAGTAGTATTTGCATTGTCTCCGTCCACATCATAGCCTGGGAACTTGCTCTTCTGTCAGATCTCTGCTGGGCCTACTTCACTCAGATCTGTGCTTAGATGTTCCCATCAGCAAGGGAGCCACTCTATCCCCCGATCACTGTCTATCAAAAAAACAGTGCTCCTCTCCACACCTGACCCCATCCACTCCAGCCTCTCTTACTCACTTTGTCCTGCACTTGAAAATGAAATCCTGCTATGCATCGGAGAGTTGGACAGTGAATAGGAATTATAGAAAGAGAATTGATGCCTTTGAGTTGTGGTACTAGAGAAGAGTGTTGAATATACC